ATCTAGTAATAACGCTATCCCACCTGTAATCAATATAACACTTTGTATTCTATCTGATAAACTCTGATCTAGTAATAACGCTACCTAATCAATATAACACTTTGTATCCTATCTGATAAACTCTGATCTAGTAATAACGCTACCTAATCAATATAACACTTTGTATCCTATCTGATAAACTCTGATCTTCGATAAATCATCGACAATCAACTGTAATCAATATATAACACTTTGTATCCTATCTGATAAACTCTGATCTTCAATAAATCATCGACAATCAACTGTAATCAATATATAACACTTTGTATCCTATCTGATAAACTCTGATCTTCAATAAATCATCAACAATCAACTGTAATCAATATAACACTTTGTATCCTATGTGATAAACTCTGATCTTCAATAAATCATCGACAATCATCTGTAATCAATATATAACACTTTGTATCCTATCTGATAAACTCTGATCTTCGATAAATCATCGACAATCAACTGTAATCAATATAACACTTTTTATCCTATCTACTAAACTTTGATCTTCAATAAATCATGGACATTGTGTAGTTATATTTAATCCTTTTAGAAAAATAAGTATATAAAAGCAAACTGTACAAATTATTCAATTAAACAACTGAAGTAAACATCCAAAACAGCTAGAAAACAATACATCTACTCAGGGTACAATGTTAGGTTCCTAAACTCCTATAAAAATGTGTTTCTATGCTTGAGAATGTCGAAGTCAAATTCAATGGTACAAACTGGAATATGGGCCTAAACGTATGTGGTACAAAGTTATGTGCTAGTAATTAAAAGCATTGTTTTTGTTAGCAAACTGAGGCAATACTTTGAAATACACTTGTGAAGAGATGATTGCAAGACCCGTTTTGGAGCAGTTGTCATTGCAAGAACCGTTTTGGAGCAGCTGTCATTACAAGACCTGTTTTGGAGCAGCTGTCATTCACAAAATAACAGTACATCTTGACAAAAATAAACAAGTTATAACATGTCTTAATTATTAATATTTTTAATGCTTGTATAGTTGAGCAGTGTCTTTCCTTTCAAGCAAAACAAACCCCCATGGCCAAAGATCATATGATATAATACAGTTAATCCTATAACAAAAGTATAGACTTAAATGAAACCAAATTTTTTAGCTGCCTTTCCTCTAGTCTTACACCACTAAATTAGGGACGGCTAGCACAGATGGCTCTCGCATAGCTTTGCACAAAATTCATAAAAAAAAACGACAATACATTTGAAAATATACAGCATGTGATCTAATCTAACTTTGTCTAAATATTTGTATCTTTTTCTGTATTTGTTAAGTGTGGTTGAATGAATGCTAGTTTTCACATTAAAAATATTTTACGAAAGTGAAGAAAGATGTTAGAGTTTTTAATACAAAGTTTAAAATATCATGGTCAGCTAGATTTTCAGTTAAAAGTTTTCTCTTGCATATTCCCACTTTTTTTTACTACAGGAGGAAACTGTTACAGAAAGAATTAATGTTTGTTCTGCGTCACCTGTTTCATGCCTTTATATGCAAACGATAAACAAGATTTGGTAAATCATTAATAATGAAGAATATGATTCAGTGTTGGTTCTTGTGATAACAGATGTAGTTTACTTGTATAACTTTAATGTAGGCAGAAGAATAGTTGTTAGAGAAAGAATTAATATTTGTTCTGCGTCACCTGTTTCATGCCTTTATATGCAAACAATAAACAAGATTTAGTAAATCAGTAATAATGAAGAATATGATTCAGTGTTGGTTCTTGTGATAACAGATGTAGTTTAATTGTATAACTTTAATGTAGGCAGAAGAATAGTTGTTAGAGAAATAAGCAGGATTCTGTTGGTTAGAATTGTTATTTTTTCTTGATTTGAGTCTTTAAAAGTTTATTTTTCAGTAATGATGACATCACATGTTCATGTTGTTTATAAAGTGAATACTAAAACAGTCGCATAATTATTTCTTAGCATAAAATTCACTCTGCACGTAAATCATGTTAGCATTGCTTGAAGTTTTATTTATTTTTACAGGGCACAGCAGTTGTTTTACAACGACGATCAGAAAACGAACCTCAAGTTGAAGTTGGACGGTTAGGACCTTCAGATTATTTTGGTAAGTTATAGTTTACTGAAAAATATTATATAAATGTTTTTAAGGATTAAACATGAGTGATGTTGAATGGGTGGCTGATGGCATTACCTATAGATTTAGATAAAATCTTGAATAAAAGGACTGATAGTTAAACACATTAAAAGTATACTCTTGAATAAAAGGACTGACAGTTAAACACATTAAAAGTATACTCTTGAATAAGAGGACTAATAGTTAAACACATTAAAAGTATACTCTTGAATAAGAGGACTGATAGTTAAACACATTAAAAGTTTACTCTTGAATAAAAGGTATTATCAATATTTATTAATATTTGATTTTGACTTTTATGTAGTGTATTTTTTTGCTACAGGAGAAATTGTAATGTACATACGTGCTCCAGGTATCTTTAGTTATAAGAGTGATATTCAACAATGTCTTTGTACACAAAAATAAGTTACTTTGATTATCAAAAAAATCGATTTTGGTTACTACCTTACGAAAGCCTTGCGAGACTCTACTTAGAAGGCCTGATAATGTGCTAGTACACATGAGACTGCCTCAACTTATCCCTGTAATTACTAGCACAGCTCTCCCCATGGCTAGGTGGTTAAGGCGCTTGACTCGCGAGTTCGAATCCCCATCCCACCAAACATGCGTTATAATGTGATGGTCAATCCCCCTATTCGTTTGTAAAAGAGTAGGCCAAGAGTTGGCGGTGGGTGGTTATGACCAATACATACGTGCTCCAGGTATCTTTAGTTATAAAAGTGATATCTCTATAATACATACGTGCTTCAGGTATCTTTAGTTGTAAAAGTGATATCTCTATAATACATACGTGCTCCGGGTATCTTTAGTTATAAAAGTGATATCTCTATAATACATACGTGCTCCAGGTATCTTTAGTTATAAAAGTGATATCTCTATAATACATACGAGCTCCAGGTATCTTTATTTATAAAAGTGATATAAATAGAGATATCACTTTTATAACTAAAGATACCTGGAGCACGTATGTATTATAGAGATATCACTTTTATAACTAAAGATACCTGGAGCACGTATGTATTA